AAAAAGAAAAATTAAAGGACAATATTGAGTTAGTTCATCGAGCCTATAAAATTATTCAGTAAGGCAAATATAATTTTATCACCTTTGTGCTACCGTCGTAGTCCATTAAGACGGCAAAATGCGTCAAATGATTGCACCTGCAAAATGTTTCTTCTGAGTTGCTTTTTGATGTAACTACATGACATCCTTCCTCTGAAAAGCTGTCAGACATGAAAAAAAAGTAAAGTTTACATAGGACACAAATGATTCATTGTTTGGGGAAGACGATATGTTTCACAATTTTGCACTAAGGTTTTCTTCCATTGTCGTCTTGGTTGCGAGAACATTTCAATCAGACTTCCGCTCTCTAAAAGGACAACATGTTGGCTTCAAGGGAAGTGTTAATCTGCACAAAAACATCTGAGAAAGTCCATTCATTCTCCTCCGTACTAAATTTAACTGAAGAAGGAATAAATACTATACAATAATATATTGCAGTTTTTTTACCTTTTGCTGAGGTTACTCCAAAACATACAGCGTTTCTCCGCTGCCAAGACCTGAAAATAGATTTTATCTTGTCAGAATAAATCAAAGCAACGTATAGCAACAAATTGTCATGTTACCTTTAGGTTTTTGAACTTTAGGGTGACATTTTCTCTCAATGTTTCTGGCTTGGGGTCCATAGTTACGGCCATTATCCTGGAGTTGATATTCCTATGAAGAAATTGTATTTGAAAATGGACCAAAACCAAGGAAGCAACATTACGTCATTTTGGTAGATTCAAGCGGATTTTTCATGAAGGTGGAATGGTCAGAGACAAGTAGGGAGTCTTGAAACCTTCGTTAGGGTTTTTGGAAAGTTTCTAAGTTCAGGTTAGTTGAACTTAGATCTTATGTGTTTCCGTGTTACGTGTTTTTGGAGGTAAACGACATGAAGTAATGCGAAAATAACGTCACCTTTGGTTGTCTGTTTCACTCCTGATGGCTTGATCTGTCAGAAGTAGGTCATGCAGATCCTTGTACACAAACGCAACTACCAATGATCCTTTAACCCCCAAAAGTCAACAAACAAAGTTATCAAACAAGAACAAAAAAACTCACAAAATTGAAATTTTATCAGGCTCTGAGGTATGTGACATTAGAAGGAAGGCGAATGATTAAAGAAGATAGATATGTAAACTAAGGACGCGCATTTATATGAGACTTTATTTAAATAAAGAAATTTCGATTGGAGAAACCAAGGTAATACTAAAAGTTGTAAAGTTACCACAATAGTTAATACGAACCATTTTCCTCAAAATTTGAAGAAGCAATATCGATTCTCGCTTGCCATTGTTGTTCCTCAAAGTGGAAACCACTTTTATTCTGGCGATAGGCCTTTTGAATGGCCAACACTGTCGGAAAAAATTACAAATGAAAGCACTTACGATGAAATTTACAAGAGCACATCTACACAAACATGCGTTTTGCGGTGCACACAAATATTTCATAATCTTATTGGATGGATATTAATCTTATTTGCCCTTCAACGACTATTCGACGATTTCAACCATTTTACGACGTTTATTCAATGTAAAACTAATGAAAAAGTGAGTAGTTCTAGACGGACTGATGTTGTCAAAACGCAATTCGTTCCTCGAACTATTTCGTTGGAGAACTATAGAGTTCATTAGGGAGTTTTTAGGAGTACTGTTAAAAATATTGCATTTATATGCATTGCAGTCGATAGGCCAGTTTTGAGCTCAGTGTATAGAATGAAGTATGCGGAAAATATTTGTAAGATTTAACAATTTCAGTTAGTTAAGTGTACTTACCAATCTATTATTTAAGAAAAGTTTCAGTAAACAAAGTGAGAAGAAGGGTTTCACAATTTGAAAGATTCTAGTTCGCTATTGTTGATTGTTCAAGAATACCTTGAATTTCTTTCTCCACCGCAAAAATCAAAGTATCAAAGAAATTACAAGAACAGATGAATCGATGACATCGAACAATAACGTTTCTAATAGGTTGGACTTATAACTGAGTCCTTACATCATCTAGGAAATTTGACAACGCAGTCGGTCAGTCAGCAAGTCAGTAAGTAACAAAGGAATAGACCTTGAAACTAAAAGGATTGAAGGCCACAACCTTACCTATTTTGGGGGAAACGATCCTTTCTGGAGGCATCCCTGCAATAAGGTGTTGCTCGCCATAATTAAGAGCAAATTTCTCGACGGCCTCTGCCACCTCAAAGATGGATTTTTTCAGTGTTTTAACCTCTTCCATGCCGGCCTTGTCTTTTGAGACGTTCTTGATTTTTATGATGAAATCTTCAAACACAGTTACAGCCTCCTACAATTACATAAAATATTTCCAGGTCATTAACCAGCCAGTCTCAAATGTACAATTGTTATTAGGAATGCGAAAAAAGTCTCGCAGGAGGCCCCAAATCGTGTTCAGGGTATTCATTGGCTAAAGAACTCTTTTAGGAGCCTGGATTATATTT